AGGTTTTGGATGCTTGATTTTGTCTCATGTTGGAATTGAACCATGTTTTGTTGCATGGTTGAGACATTCGAGGTGAGTGCTCGGATCATGTCTTCGGTGGACATAGTTGAGCCTTGCCCTTGGGGTTTAGAATATGGTTGCTTTTGAGGAAATTGATTTTGTGGAGGGTTATTTTGTGGTGGGTTTCCTTGCGGATTCCCATATCTCAAATTGGGGTGATCTCTAAACCCGGGATGGTAAGTGTTGCCGTAAGAATCATACCTCTTTTGGTTTGGGAACCCCAAAGCGTTGACTTGTTCGGGGTTTTCTTCTTGAAGGGTCGGGCATGCATCGGTGGGGTGGCCTTGTTGTGTGCAGATGCCGCAGACCTTAACTTCTTGGGTCTTGGAATTTAAAAGAAAATCCTTAACCAAAGAAGTCAAGCCGGCAACTTGACTTTCTAGAGATGATGTTGATTCGGCCGCCATGACTCTTTTTGTTGATGACCGCCCGTTGTGATATCTACAATTCTCGGCCAACTCCGAGATAAGATTCATAGCTTGAGAAGGAGTTTTGTTAACGATTCCTCCTCCACATGCGGCATTAATCATACGTCTATCATCATTGCAAAGACCATCATAAAAGTATAGGATGAGGTCTTGCTCCGAATAGCCATGGTACGGACAGCTTGCACAAAGTTTCTTGAATCGTTCCCAATATTCATAGAATGATTCATCATCTTTTTGCTCCACATTGCTTATTTGCTTTTTTAGAGATGAGGAGACAGAGGCTGGATAGTACCTTTCAAGGAAAGCTTTCTTCATGGCCGCCCATGTATCTATACTTCCCGAAGGAAGATAGAATAGCCAATCTTTTGCGGTATCTTTGAGGGAGAATGGAAAGGCCCTCAACTTTATCTGTTCCTCGGTGACTCCATTAGGGCACATGCTCGTGCAAACAACATGGAACTCCGAGAGATGTTTATTTGGATCTTCTCCTCTTAAGCCATGGAAGGATGGCAAAAGATGAATGAGCCCTGATTTGAGCTCAAATGTATTACCTTCGTTGAGTGTAGGGAAGGTAATACATAGCGGTTGTTGATTCAAGTTTGGAGCTGTGAGCTCCCTCAACGTTCTTGTTTCGAGAGCCATAGCTGTTGGCTCTTCAGGTTCGCTAGAATAAGAGCTAGCGCTTGATGAATCTCTCGAGTCGGTAGTTGAGAATTTGTTTTTCAACCGCTCGAGAGCTTGTTCTATTTCGGGGTTTGATTGGTAGGTGATTTCGTTCAGTGAACGATATTTTACCATATACTTTACAAAGCTCAGAAATAGAAGAAGAACTCTTTATATATATTTTATATATATATATATATATATATATATATATATATATATATATATATATTATATATATATTTTTTGATTTTTCTTGAAATAAAAATGAAAAGAAAAATAATTGCCTTTCCCCGGCAACAGCGCCAAATTTGACGAGCACTTGTCGTGGTGTGCACTCAAAATAAATATTCAATACGACACTTATACGTAGTATAGTGTAGTAAGGTTCGTATCCACAGGGAAAGGAATTCTTTTCTTCTTACAAGAATAAATAAGTAACAATAAGGGGGGTTTATATTTGGTTGATGAACTTTAAATTATATTTAAACACGAAGATGAACGAGTTATGTGATTTAATTAATGAGAAGAAGACTTGGTTTTGCTTTTATCCACTTAATGAAATGTTCGTCGATCCCGGTTATATCTTTAACTATCTTCCTCTCGAATACTCAATCGAGGAGTATATCCAGTTCATCGAGGGTAGTTATTAATAACGAGACGCGTTCATTAATAAAACTTACTACCGAGTCAATATAGAACAAGCGCCGTATATTAACTTGATAGTAGCAATAAAATCAAGATGAAAACGATTGAGATTGATAACCTCAACACAAGCGGTTTATTGGTTTAATCAATATAATTAATTCCCCTTGGCTTATTAATCATGAGAAGCATGCATTAACAACCCAAGTTTACTACCATTGAAAGAACCGAATTAATAACAAGCGTATTAACCGATTGATTCTAGTAATAATTAATATATGAAACAAAACTAGTTGATCCTTTAAGTAATGTTCAAAATATTAATATGAAATATGAATAGGAATTAATTAATACTCAAGAAAGAATATTAAAGAAGATGAATCCTACTATAGTTAATATCAAGATGTTAACTAATTGTCATCTTAGTAACACTCCCCGGTATTAACGTAGAGGAAGAAATAACTATTACTATAACTAATGTCAAGATGTTAACTAATTGTCATCTTAGTAACACTCCCCAACATTGATATAGAAATAGTATTTAAAGAAAGAATTAATATCCAAGGAAGAAGATTAAAGATAATAACTCACAACTTACAAATTCATTAAGCTTCAAAGGAGCAAAACCAAGATGGAAGAGTTTAACTCCTCATTTGGAGACTAAACATGATAAAAATATAAAGAAAGAACTTGTCTAAACTGAGCTTAGAAGTATATAGGAATTGGTGATTTATTGTGGAGGAAATGTGGTGTATTTATAGGCTTTTTAGGCCTGCAGGGTCGTGTACCCGATCGGGTTTTCAGCTCAACCGATCGGGTAAGGGTTATTTCCTCGAAACTGAAAATCTGGGGTCATACCCGATCGGGTATGTCGGCCACCCGATCGGGTATGGATACGCGATCGAGTTAAAAAATCCTCCTGCATGTTGCCTTGTTCCCGGTTTGATTCGATTTGACTTTTCAGCAACTTACCCGATCGAGTATAGAGCATACTCGACCGGGTACGCTACCAAAAATCAGAATCTTCATCTTTTCTTGAAATCTTTGCACCTTCCTTCCATTTGTGATGTTCACCAATAGTCCCTAGAGTGGTCTTGGACCTGTTTGAGCTCAGAACCAACCTAATCTAAACAATTTACAAACATTTTACAAACTAAATTATTACACCAAAAGTGTGTAATTTCTAGAGTAACAATCACTCAAAACTAATCAAAAACACAATTATAAACACGGAAATAACATGAATGTCAAGTATATGGCCCGGGAACCCCCGGTCCACAAACTCCTACTACTCCAACACCGGCCCGACAGGCCCAAGAAGCGCATGAAGCCCAAAGCACCGCGGCCCAAGCTGAAAGGAACCCACGGTGCGCCTGGGGATGCCTTCGGCGCCATGGCCGAAGGCTCCAAACTTCAGGAAATAGCTGATTTCCCACATACAAAGCTACTGGGAGAAGGCGGCGAAATTCAGGAGCCTTCGGCTAACACACGCCCTCGGCATAAAAGTAGCCTTCGGCTACAAGAGAGCCCTCGGCTACAGGGGGAGCCTTCGGCTAACAGCTCAATCATCGAAGATTCCCTTTGTATACAGGCAACCACTGCATTTAACGCGGCGTCACATCCACCCACCGCATTTTATGCGGTGCACATGCGAATGCCAGTGCCACCCCGATTGAGGTGACCCCTCGACCGTTAGATTATTGACATGTGTACTCTCATCGCATTTATGGATGCTATAAATGGCAGCCGTTATTCTCCTTGTAAACCACGCTGAGTTCATTTAATACATTTGACTCTCTCTCTTACTTGTTTGCTCTGACTTCTCTCTAGGTTATTCCTCGAATAACCCCTCGGATAAGCTATCCCCGGGTACACTATCCATCATGTACTTATACATTTTTCGCACTTGCTAGCTCATGCGAGTTGGTACTTCATATGATAATGAATCAGACCAATAATGTTTTTGCTTTTGCTGAATCTTTTGAACTGATCCTACACATAAAATCGTGAGACAAAAAAACGGAAGGTACGTTTAAGGATGTGTAAGAGGACTAGAATCCCAATTGAAGATGCTTAAGGCTATCCGTCTACTCGCAACTGTTTATAAATTTAATTTTCAAATAGTTTATACAAAATTTAAATATCCACTTCGTCAATTCAATATATTTCCACAATCCGGCATTATCAATATATTCACCCAACACATATTTCTAAATTGTGTCCTTACTTTTATTATTATAAATCTTTTTTTTGCAAATAATTTTTATGATTAATTATTATTCAAAAACACAAACATTCTGATGTAATAATAAATAAATTTAGTCTATTTTTTTGTTATTTTAGATCTGTTTATGAAAACAATAATTCAAAGGTGTACAAAAAAATTGTAACCATGGGATTTAAATTTTAGTGTCTTGATGACTTGATCTATCTAAACAAAATTGATCCTAAAATTCTAATAGTTGGATCTTCATATTTTTTCATAAATTTTAGGTATGCAATATTGCTGTGATATGAAAGTTCATAAACAATTACTCCGTATTATTTTTTTTATATATATTTTTATAAAAATTAAAAAACAAATACCCCGAGTAGAAAAACTACTCCCGCCAACATGCTTTACTCAGGTGAATCGGGAGGGGGGTCCCACCATGGGTGCCATTTCACCAATATTGACCTATCACATGCTACAGTTGTATTAAATATAAATTTTGAAAAAGTTTGCTGATATTACTTCCGAAAATAGGTGAACAAAAATGTGACTTAGTGACTATTAGTGACTATAAATGCGTTCAAAGATTACATCATAGTAATTATATGTAAGTGATTGCAATGTAAACTTTGAACACATTAATAGTAACTAATACGGAGTAATTATTAAGTCACATTTTTTGTCTGTTTTTTCTGCCAAATTACTAAATTGGTATAAAAGAAAAAGAGGGTCATTTAACAGATTGATAAAAAAACCACTTGAGGCATGTTGGGATATATTATCCCGGCCTATTACTGTTCAGGAGCCCAAGACTTCACATAGTACGGAGCCCGTTCAGTAAGGCCCGTTTCGGCCCGTTTTGGCCATCCGGCCCACTTCGGCCCAGCAGGCCCGCACTTGGCCCATTAGGGTGGAGAGCACCCTTCCCCATTTCCCTATAAATATGGGAGTTCCCCTCCTTATTAAGGATCCCTCCTCCTTAGCTTATTCTTCTTCTCTCTCTAGCTAGCTTACAATACTCCATTAATGGGAGCTCAAAGTGTACAATGTAATGGTGAGGAGAGTCCTAATGAGAATGAGAGGGCTTGGACATTAGCCTAAAAAGTCCCGTGGTTTTCTCCCTTTCCGGGTTTCCACGTAAAAATAGTTTATTCATACACATTTATACATATATTTACTATATCGTGTTGGATTAAACTCAACACTAGCGCCGTCTGTGGGAATCTGTCCAAAAAGATCCATGTGTTTCTACACAAAATCAATACAGAAATGGACTGATTTCAACAAAAAAAAAAAAAGAACGAAGAAAAAGTATTCTGGAAAGCAAAAGGAAGAAGGAAGAAAAAATGGAAGAATCTAGGTTTTCTCCCAGATCTAAGCTGGAAGCATCTGTCACCTCCTGCTGCCGTGTATCGTCTGGAGCTGGCTGTTCCGCCGGAGTTCGCCGAATGCGGTAGAAGTCCACCACGACGCCCCAGGTTTTGTTACAGCACCGCCGCCGCCGGCGGCGGCCGGAGCGCTCACCGCTTCCTTAGGACTCGCCCGACGCCGCACTCATCACTGGCAGCTCCCAGGTCCATTTAAACCAAACCCCACGAACCTAGTAGCTCTTGGCTATCTGCAGGGACGGAATAGCACTCAGGGAAGATGGCGGGGGAAGAAAATCGGACCCTGACAGCCCACTCCTCCGCCGCAGACGCTCTGCTTCTTCGCCGGTCGCCGGTCCCAGCTCGCCTCTCTGCTACCGCTGCTGCGCTGCGGCACCCTCGCCTGACGCCGACACTCTCTCCGCCGCAGCTCGACCTCCAGCCAGGTGCCGGTACCTCCGTCGTCGTTTGGCCTTGGGTTGGTGAGCCGGAGTTTCAGCTGGCTTCTCGGATAATACGGAGTACTGATATTGCTCGGAGGCCTTGGTCCTCAGGAGGCCACGTGAAGGGAAGTGAATGGTGGCTTGGACGTACGTCAACTTTGTTTGGGATTTAAAAGTGGCTGAATAATTGGACTTTCTGGTTCTTGGCCATTTTTCTTGGAGAGATTTTGACCAAGTCAATTGGGGAAAGGGGCTTGATCTCAATGCACCGGGAACTATCTGGCCGAATCTATAACTCAAAAAGCTAAGTACCCATCCTTTAAGTTGATACATTCGATTATTATTACGGAGTAGTTGAAACTATTAGTAATGCTAAGTATTTTTATCACCATTATTTAATAGGGGGCAAATGCCCCAAAATTAAATAATGTCGAGCAAAGCTCAAATGAGTAAAGCTCTAGTGATAATTAGTTTCACCGTCATTTAAATTTAATGACTGGTTGTTGTGTGCCTGTTGGCCCGCTCCTGATCGGCTTTAATTAGCGAATGGAGTATACTTGAATGGCCTTTGATAGGGAAGTATCATTGCTATTACCGGTTATATCCCTATTATTTATTAGGGATAAAATGTCCCGAATTAAATAATGTGGAGCGAAGCTCTGGTGATGGTTGGTTCAACCAACATTTTATTGAATATTTAATTTCTTGTGGGCCTGTTGGCCCACTCTCGATCAGCTTGATTTGCGATCTGAGCGTCTCCAGAGGGTAGTGCCCCGATGACGCGTTTTAATTTGGGGGGTTACGCATTAGTCCGCACGACACCGAGTGCTCGAGCGACGATCGTACCCTGGTACCATCTACGCCATCAGGCGCAGAGTGACTATTGCTAACGCGGTCTGTGGGGCCCGAAGGCACAAAAGCACTCAACCTCGTTTTTCCGAGGGCAGTGCGACCGACTTGGGTCTGAGTTTGAAAACTCACAGACCGATGAATATCTCTACGTGACGTTCGGCGGGCTGCTAATTGGCCCCGCCGCGAGCTGCTACGTCCCTTAACCCCGTACGATGAGCCGGGCCGAGGGTCACGACGACCCATAGGCCGGTAATCATGGATGTTAAAGAGAAGCCAAACAGATGGCTATGTGTGTATATATATTGTCGGGCCGTGCGGCCCGTTACCATGCTTATTGCGCAGCCGAAGCCGCTCGACGCGCTTGAGCGAAATGATTAGAAGACGCTCGGCCCGAGTCTTGAAGACGTGCAGGGCCGGCTAAAGAGGAGACCATCACGGCTGAGGACCGTGAGACGAGCATCTCCACCTAGAGGCCGAGGGCCTAGAGGAGACCACCACGGTTGAGAACCGTGGGACGGGCATCTCCACCCCAGAGACCGATGGCCTAGGGAGAACACCTAGAGGCCGAGGATCTAGAGGCGAATGCCATGACAGAGAACCGTGAGACGATCATCCATCATTCAGAGGCCGAGGGCCTAGAGGAGACCATCACGGCCGAGGGCCGTGAGACCATCCTGATTTTTAGGTCGGCCTCTCATCGCCGACATCATCATGCCACGACCGGCCTATCGGCACGGCGTGCCTATCTTTTGAAGACCGGCCTCGTCCCCACACCTCGCGGACGAGGACCGTTGCTTGGTTCTTTCAGGTCGGCTTATCATTGCCGACACCATTATATCACGACCGGCCTCCCGGCTCAGCGTGCTTTCCATATTTGAAGACCGGCCTCATCCCCGCTCCTCGCGGATGAGGGCCGTTGCTGGATTCTTTCAGATCGGCCTCTCTTTGCCGGCACTGTCATATCATGTTCGGCCCCTCGGCCCGGCGTGATTATCATCTTTGAAGACCGGCCTCATCCCCACATTGCGCGGGTGAGGACCGTTGCTGGATTTCAGGTCGGCCTGTCATTGCCGATGTCATTATATATCACGACCGGCCTCTCGGCCCGACGTGATTATCATATTTGAAGACCGGCCTCGTCCCCGCCCTCGCGGACGAGGGCCGTTGCTTGATTCTTTCAGATCGGCCTCTCTTTGCCGGCACTGTCATGTCATGTTCGGCCCCCCGGCCCGGCGTGATTATCATCTTTGAAGACCGGCCTCGTCCCCGCCCTCGCGGACGAGGACCGTTGCTTGATTTTCTCAGATCGGCCGCTCATTGCCGACACCATTATACCACGACCGGCCTCTCGGCACGGCGTGTTTATCTTTTGAAGACCGGCCTCACCCCCGCTCCTCGCGGATGAGGACCGTTGCGTGCTCACTCTCAGGTCGGCCTCTCATTGTCGATGTCATTATGTCACGACCGGCCTCTCGGCACGGCGTGTTTATCTTTTGAAAACCGGCCTCGTCCCCGCGCTGCGCGAATGAGGACCGTTGCCTGATTTTAGGTCGGCTTTTCATTGCCGACATCATCATATCACGACCGGCCTCTCGGCATGGCGTGATTATCATATTCGAAGACCAGCCTCGTCCCCGCCCCTCGCGGACGAGGGCCGTTGCTTGATTCTTTCAGGTCGGCCTCTCACTGCCGACACTATCATGTTATGGTCGGCCTCTCGGCACGACATATTTATCTTTTGAAGACCGGTTTCATCCCCGCGCTGCGTTGGATGAGAGCCGTTGCACGGATATATCGGCCTGACCGGACACTATTGCCATCTCCTCATCAGGACCGACTGCTCAGCGACATTATGATCATTGTTTGTCGGATCCCAATGCCGACCCTCTTGAGTTTGCGATCGGGCTCACGACTCCCCTCCAGGTAGGGCTGAGCAAAACCCGATCCGACCCGAAAAACCCGATATTTTTTTCGGATATTATCCGAACCGAAGTGGATATCCGACCCGAAAAACTCGAAACCGAAAATCCGATTAGTATTGGGCCTAGACCGGGTGGCGGGTAGGGTTTGTGAAATCCCAACCCGACCCGCCCGAATATCCGAAATATATGTTAGTGTGTACTTTGAATATTTAAATTAATACTTGTGTTCAATTATCTATGCAATTATTTGTGCAATTTGTATTAAATTATTTGTGTAAATTGAATGTGTAGTGAACTAGTGTGTACAATTTTTGTTAAAGTGGCATTCCAACACTTTAACTATCTAATTATAATGTATTTTGATATAACCAAAATATCTGAAATATATTAAATTATGTAGTATGTACTTTGAATATGTTAAATTAATACTTGTGTTCAATTATTTGTGTAATTATTTGTGCAATTTGTGTTAAATTATTTGTGTAATTTGGAAGTTTAGTGCACTAGTGTGTACAATTTTTGTCAAAGTGGCACTTAAACACTTTAATTATCTAATTATAATTTTTTAATATAACCGAAATATCCGAAACCCGACCCGATATCCGATAATATCCGACTTAAAAATATCCGAAATACCCGATTTGAAATATCAAAGGGTCGGGCCTAGTATTTAAATTAAAAAACCCGAACGGGTTTGGGGTTCGCAAACCCGACCCGCCCGAACCCGACCCGTGCACACCCCTACCTCCAGGAGGGTGACCATCGCCTTCGCATGACGACCAGCTATTCTATCGCCTCGTCATTATATTCGTTCGCTATGCCACCACCATTATGTGTGACATCCCGTGATCCCTGCGAGTTTCTTGGATACCGAATGTCTTCTTCGATGTAGGAAGATCGGTAGGACCACGGACCAGGGACGGACAAAGAAGAGCTAGGGAATCTCGATGTAGATAAACCTGTTCCTCCTTGCGAGTTTCGCGGATACCGAACGTCTCTTCGAAGCAAGAGCGCCGGTAGGACCAAGAACCAAGGACGAACGAAGAATATAGATTGCCTCCCTCAAAAAAAAAAAAAAAAAAAAAAGATGGGGAGAAGAGGAGGGTAGCTCCTATGTGGAAGGGAATCTTGCCCGGGCGTGCCAGATCTTCTCCCACCGCCGAAGATGAACGCCTCTCGATGTAGAGGTTAGTAGAGACGCGGAGGGGGCTAGACGAACCAAGGGAGCTTTGCCAAGATAAACCTGTTTATCCCACAATGACCATGGATCGATGGACGTGGGATAACAAAGCCGGGAACCCGCGAGGGTAAACCAGTTCGTCCCTGCGAGTTCCTTGGGTACCGGACGTCTTCTTCGAAGCAAGAGACGCCGGTAAGACTAAAAGGACCACGGACGAACGAAAAAGGGGGAATCTCGATGTAGATAAACCTGTTCCTCTTTGCGAGTTTCGAGGATACCGGACGTATCTTCGAAGTAAGGACGCCGGTAGGACCAAGAACCAAGGACGAACGAAGACTAAAAGACTCCAAAAAAAAAAAAAAAAAAAAAGATGCCAGAAGAGCACGGAGCAAAGAATGATTTTATCCCTCGGCGCTATTGGCCGGGAAGTACAAACTGAAAAACATATGTAAAGAATAATTACAAAACTTAAGTACGAAAAATGAAGTGGCCGACGATGATCGGCTAACATCAGGCTTTCTTTTGCCTTGGACGACGAATACCAGCTCCCCAGATCAGACAGAGGGACGACGCCCAGGTCCACCTTTCCTCCCAGGATGAAGTCCTGACAGACGATCGGCTTCTCATAGCCAGCCAAGACGGACCGCGCCTGGTTTCACAGATCGGCTCGCCCATTCCCTCCAGGATGGCGACGGCCGTCTTATGCAGTACGATCGGCCCCTCAGCGCCATCATACCCAGCTCACGTTCAGCTCGTCCATCCCTTCCAGGGTGGCGACGAACGTCTTATGCATCACGATTGGCCCCTCAGCGCCATCGTGTCCGGATTCACGGTTCGGCTCGCCCATTCCCTCCAGGATGGCGACGACCGTCTTATGCAGTACGATCGGCCCCTCAGCGCCATCGTACCCAGCTCACGTTCAGCTCGTCCATCCCTTCCAGGGTGGCGACGAATGTCTTATGCATCACGATCGCCCCTCAGCGCCATCGTGTCCGGACTCACGGTTCGGCTCGCCCATTCCCTCCAGGATGGCGACGACCGTCTTATGCAGTACGATCGGCCCCTCAGCGCCATCGTACCCAGCTCACGTTCAGCTCGTCCATCCCTTCCAGGGTGGCGACGAACGTCTTATTCATCACGATCGGCCCTTCAGCGCCATCATGTCCAGATTCACGGTTCGGCTCGCCCATTCCCTCCAGGATGGCGACGACCGTCTTATGCAGTACGATCGGCCCCTCAGCGCCATCGTATTCAGCTCACGTTCAGCTCGTCCATCCCTTCCAGGATGGCGACGAACGTCTCTTATGCAGCACGATCAGCGCCCCAGCGCCATCGTGCCTGGCTCACGTTAGGGTCGCCCATCCCTTTCAGGATGGCGACGAACGTCTCTTATGCAGCACGATCAGCGCCCCAGCGCCATCGTGTCTGGCTCACGTTAGGGTCGCCCATCCCTTCCAGGATGGCGACGAACGTCTCTTATGCAGCACGATCAGCGCCCCCAGCGCCATCGTGTCTGGCTCACGTTAGGGTCGCCCATCCCTTCCAGGATGGCGACGAACGTCTCTTATGCAGCACGATCAGCGCCCCAGTGCCATCGTGTCTGGCTCACGTTAGGGTCGCCCATCCGTTCCAGGATGGCGACGAACGTCTCTTATGCAGCACGATCAGCGCCCCAGCGCCATCGTGTCTGGCTCACGTTAAGGTCGCCCATTCCTTCCAGGATGGCGACGAACGTCTCTTATGCAGCACGATCAGCGCCCCAGCGCCATCGTGTCTGGCTCACGTTAGGGTCGCCCATCCATTTCAGGATGACGACGAACGTCTCTTATGCAGCACGTCTGCCTCTCGGCGCTGACATGCCCGGTTTATCGATGAGAGCCACCGCTTTCTATCACATCTCACATTCCTTCTCTCATACATTGCACCCATACATTACATGCATTCATGCATCATACCTCATACATTCATACATACACACGTGCATCATGTTTTGACAGTACCGCGACGTCGGTTTATAGATGCATGGACCTCTAAGCTTCTCCGATTGGAAAGCTCGAGTCAGAGTCCTTTACTCCCGCCTGATGCAGTCAGGGGGAGTGTGCCCATGGAGGAGCACCCTTCGCCCGACCCCGTTGGGAAGGGGGGTGCCTCACCGGCAGATTACGTTCAGGAGTACAGACACTCACTCGTATATTATGATTATTCGAAGACACAGTTTCCAGCAAGACAGAGGAAGAGCGCAGGCAAGAGTATATTTTCTCGAGCAGATTCGCATGCTCACTACTCAAGAAACTGGGGGACTTGTGTTGGGATATATTATCCCGGCCTATTACTGTTCAGGAGCCCAAGACTTCACATAGTACGGAGCCCGTTCAGTAAGGCCCGTTTCGGCCCGTTTTGGCCATCCGGCCCACTTCGGCCCAGCAGGCCCGCACTTGGCCCATTAGGGTGGAGAGCACCCTTCCCCATTTCCCTATAAATATGGGAGTTCCCCTCCTTATTAAGGATCCCTCCTCCTTAGCTTATTCTTCTTCTCTCTCTAGCTAGCTTACAATACTCCATTAATGGGAGCTCAAATTGTACAATGTAATGGTGAGGAGAGTCCTAATGAGAATGAGAGGGCTTGGACATTAGCCTAAAAAGTCCCGTGGTTTTCTCCCTTTCCGGGTTTCCACGTAAAAATAGTTTATTCATACACATTTATACATATATTTACTATATCGTGTTGGATTAAACTCAACAAGGCGTATTGGTAAAAAAAAAAGCCCGGGTGACAAATTATTAGTCAATTTATTGTGAGTGATAAACTTTTTAACCCTGACTTTAGAATTTCTGACATTTCATATTCTAAGTATTGTGAAATTGACATTTTCAGTCTTTTTATAACTAGCGTGTTTGATAATAGCAGTTCTCTGCTAGCTAATAACCGGTTGAATCAGCTTATTGATAATAGCGGATTCCATTTGCTTTTATAACTAACCGCTTTCTTTAGCATTTGAAATAAAATGTTAGTAACTTAATTGTTTGCGATTAAATGTTAAGACATAAAGTAACCATTAAAGATTTGAATTTGAAAGTATATATATTTATCTTAACTTTATTTCTTTTATTTTTAACAAGTCTTTTAAAAGGTTTTAAAAATTATATTTACATTTCTTTTAAATAACCATGGAGTAGATTTAAAAAAATCTAATAAATAGTCATATTTAGTACAATTCTAGAGTAGATTTTTAAAAAATAATAATAAATAGTCATATTTAAAATATTAATACTAAAAATATACTCGTATGAATTTATATGTGTGCACTCGCATTAATGTACATATCTTAAAAATGATAGTGTTAGTAATTATTTAAAATAAACGTAAACGTATATTTTATAATTTTTTCCAAGACTTATTAAAAACAAAAAGAAATAAAAAACTTTGAAATTCATCATTTTTAATTGTCGTTTTACGTCTGAAAAGTTAATTGCAAATTTTAAGTTACTAATATTTTATTTCAAACCGCTAATCAAACCGGTTAGTTAAAAAAACTTAAGGAATCCGCTAATATATCTATGTGATGATTCAACCGGCTATGAGCTACCAAACAATTACTATTATCAAACATATTCGTTAACATTTTTAGACCTTCACTTTTGATGACAAAATCAAAGTAAAAGGACTGCAGATGTCAATTTCACAACATTTAGAATATGAAATGTCGGGAATTCTAAAGTCGATGATCAAAAGTATATCACTCACAAAAAATTGACCACTTTGTCACTAGGGTTTCTTCTTTTTTACCGATATGTCTCAAATTATTTTTTACCAATCTGTCAAACAACCCTCTTTTTTTTACCTATATTTGAGGACAAATCTTATAGATTAAGAGGCCGTTTGGTAACACTGTTTTTCGGCTTATCAGCCAACTTTTTCACCAAACACGTAATTTTTGCTTTCGCGCGCTGAATTGTGAAATAATAAGCTGAAACAGTAAAGTTAGAGTTACTTTTCTGTCTGTATTGGTTGAAGTTACTGTAGATGACCATTTTAGCTATTTTTACATATAATTTTTTCTTTTTTTATTAATAAAATATATTTTAAAAATACTGTTTTTCTTAAATCAGCAGAATCAGCCAATGCAGCCACTTCAGTTAGAACTTCATAAATTTCAGCAGAATCAGCCAAATCAGCCAATTTTCGTGCTACCAAACGGGCTCTAAAAAGCCATTTGACACATGCTCCATTTTTACCTCAAATGAGGCCATTTGATGCACCATGGTGGCCCATTTCTAACTATGGAACTCAAACCAAGCAATTCCATAATACTTCATTCCTTCTTTTTTAATTGCAACGGTTCACATTCACGTTTGTCAACGCACAAGTCTACCTACTTGTATCTACTTAATACTACGTAATAAAGTAGAACCTTGCAATTGAAGTTGAATTCTAAAATATTCGCTAATGAGTCCAATTACTAAATTATAATATTTAGTATTACTATTGAGTAGAGCAAATAGATTGTCATTAATTTTGATAATTTGAATAAATTGTCCGTATTTAATTTGACATTCAACATTTTGAAACTTAGAATTTTGATTACTTTACGCATACGAGTAATTGATATTGAAAGTACAAAGAAAGGAAATAAATTAAATACGAGTAAGTGATATTGATATCAAATACAAATAAAAGATTAACCATACATACATCCATCTATTTACTCAATAATAAAGTATAATCTTCAAATTGAAATTGAGTTATCAATTAATTGCTATTGAGTCCAATTAGCGAATCTATAATAATATAAAGTAACAACGTCTAGCACCTTGCTTTTCTATCCAATTAGACATTAAGTGTTTCATACCCATTAAAAAAATTAATGCTACATTAATATTGGAGTAATTGGAATATTTTCAATTCAAAATCTATAATAATATAAAATAACCAGGTGTAGCACTTTGTTTTTTCCTCCAATTAGACATTAAATGTTTCATACCCATTAAAAAATAAGAGTTACATGAATGTATCTATATAATAGATAATAATATATTGCACTATATTAAAAGTAACAAGATGTAGCACCTTGTTTCCCCCTCCAATTAGACATTTAATGTTTCATACTCATTAATAAAAATAAGAGTTACATTAATATCTATAATAATACGTAGTATAAAGCAAGGTGTAGCACCTTACTTTTCCCTCCAATTAAACATTTAATGTTTCATACTCATTAATAAAAATAAGAGTTTCATTAATATTGGAGTAATTGGAATATTTTCAATTCAATCTATAATAATATAAAGTAACAAGGTGTAGCACCTTGCTTTTCCATCCAATTAGACATTGAGTGTTTCATACCCATTAAAAAAATTAATGCTACATTAATATTGGAGTAATTGGAATATTTTCAATTCAAAATTTATAATAATATAAAGTAACAAGGTGTAACACTTTGTTTTTTCCTCCAATTAGACATTAAAGGCTTCATACCCATTAAAAAATAAGAGTTACATGAATATTGGAGTAATTAGAATATTTTCAATTCATAATAAAAAATAATATAATAAAGTAACAAGGTGTAGCACTTTGTTTTTTCCTCCAATTAGACATTTAATGCTTCATACCCATTAAAAAATAAGAGTTACATAAATATGGGAGTAATTGGAATATTTTAAATTCAAAATAATAATTTATAATAATATAAAGTAACAAGGTGTAGCACTTTGCTTTTCCCTCCAATAAGACATTTAGTACTTCATAACCATTAAAAAAAATAAGAATTACATGAATATTGGAGTAATTGGAATATTTTAAATTCAAAATAATAATCTATAATAATATAAAGTAACAAGGTGTAGCACTTTGCTTTTCCCTCCAATTAGACATTTAGTGCTTCATACCCATTAAAAAATAAGAATTACATGAATATTGGAGTAATTGGAATAGTTTAAATTCAAAATAATAATTTATAATAATATAAAGTAACAAGGTGTAGCACTTTGCTTTTCCCTCCAATTAGACATTTCATGATTCATACCCATTAAAAAAATAAGAATTACATGAATATTGGAGTAATTGGAATATTTTAAATTCAAAATAATAATCTATAATAATACAAAGTAACAAGTTGTAGCACTTTGCTTTTTTCTCCAATTAGACATTTAGTGCTTCATACCCATTAATAAAAATAAGAATTACATGAATATTGGAGTAATTGGAATATTTTAAATTCAAAATAATAATAATGGTAATAATAATAATAATAATAATAATAATAATTAACAATTAGTTATTATAATTTGAAAATTTTGATTTTTAAAGCTATACTATCAATTAATGTTTTTGCTTATTGGATGTTTACAAAAGATTGATCAGTAACATTTTTAGCGTTCCTCAATTGCTTGGAATCTTTGCAATTATATTCTATAAACACAAATACGTAACAAAATATTTATACATCTAATGGCAAGTACATTTGTTAGTACAAAGTGATCCAAACTTTATCAAACTTTGTGCTCTGAAAAATCCATCCCAAATTTTTAACATATGTAAATCCGAGATAGTTAAACTATTCATTAGATTCTCACTGTCATCTAATGACATAGTTAAATATATAATATATGCATCCCGTACAACGCACGGGTAAAGAATCTAGTAGTCATTAATTGCAACTAAGTCCTAAATTCATAATTATATACTCGAGAATAGTTCACCTCCTTCCTCCATTCCGCCGTCCGCCCACCATGATTCGAAGCGGTTCTCAGTGAAGTTATTTGATGGAATTTTTTGACCATGTTCTTCTTGAAGTTTACATTATGTCTACAGAATTTCAGTTTAAAATCATTTGGGATGTCTGTTAAATAAATAATTGGAAAACACTGCATTTTAAATGTGTATTTTGGCTCAATGTTTTTCAATAATTTTTTAACTGACTTGCTAATTGAATTTAAGCAGAAATTTTGTGTACATAATCTAAATTCATGTCAAACATACTCACAAAATTTCATCAAAAAGCTCCAACGGAAATCAACTCAAATCGCAGCGACCAGACGTTGATTCCGGTCAGGAGGTCCTGACCAGAATATTACTCTATTATTAGATTTTTTTCTATTTTTTTTTTAATTAATTTTGTTGCTATTTTTTATGATTTTTTCTTCACAAAAGTTTCTTAGTTTTATTATAACATTATATAATATTTTTTTTAATAGAATATTAAATTCTTAGTTTTATAACACTTTTCAGGTCCCGGATTGATAAAATTCTATTTCCAAATAAACTACAAAGAAATATATCATTCAATATAGGGATAATATGATATGTATATTTAGAATATTTTATAACATTGGAATTCATTCCATATTTTTGAATCTTTATCCAATCAGTTCTAGAAACCATACATAATTCGTAGAACTTTAATTTGGTATTTTGGAATACTATGTGTAATCTGTTCTGATAAAATACGTATATTTTGAAATGGTTTGTGTAGTTCATATTCCTTTCAAATTATATACTAATACTATAGGTCAAATTCGTGCAATGCACGAACGATCAATGATAGCGAGAATTATTAGTTCAATTGTAATATACTGAATATACTCCGTGTATCTTTTGTTGACACAGTAACTTAACTAATTGTATTTAATATTCACACATATTTATTCAAATGCACGATGTAATTTTTCTATTCTACAATATTAAGTTGCTTTTAATGATAATAGTTCTTTTCATTAATAGAAACAAACATATAATAGAATAAATTGAATTTTCAAAATTTATACTCAAAATTTACATTTTATAGTTACTAATAAAATTACCTTTCAAATCACACTTAAAATAGGAGAAGAATTTAAATATACAAATTGATATTTTCAAATTAAAGAATTCAAATCTTACTGATAAAGTATAGTATAATAAATAAATTGTGAGTACATACACACTGTGTGATTTTTCTAAATAAATATAAATCATACTACGTATTTATCTACACTTTTATATTTTCCATAAAAATATGAGATTAGTATTTTCCATTATATATTAAAAAATTAAATGGATTAATTACAAGTATATAATAATAACATGGCACAATGCTCCCGAAAAGCTTTATTTTCATATATTTAATCCGTTCTTTGTTAGCTACAACACTTTTATTTTCACTATTGTCAACACGCTATAAGCAAAAAAAAAATTAAAAAAAATGAGATTTTTGGAAATTTAAATTGAGATCAGTTGAACAATATTTTAAAAATATGTATAATGAATTAATAAATATTTCATAAAATATAGTCAAAGTAGGACATGTGATTAGTGTAAAAACAACACATTGAAATTATATAGGAACGAATATAGTATATATATTGATTTTTCGTCATTCTACTTCAATAAATGGAATCACACGAGCACATTAAGATCTAAAATTTTGTAGAAAATGAACGGTGCAAGTAATTATTGGTCACATATATTAAATAAAATTCATCCATGCCTTCTACATATATACTTTTGAAGATAATTTTAACTCGTCATTTGATATCCTATTTCCATAAATATTGCTGCACTACCTTCAATATTCGTCAAGGAAGTGTGAAGGGAAAACTGTTGCATGCCGCGTCTTTGATTATATAGGATGAAGCTATGATGATTCACGAGGTTTGTTTTAAAGTTTTAGACCTTACACCGAGAAACATCATGAGTAACTATATGCTATCGTTGATCGATGGCCTATGAGTTACATATATTAGTCTAATTAATATTATTCCTTCGCTCACCGATACTTTAATAGCGCTTCAATGGTTGATATGTTGATATGTATACTCTCGAATATTTTTCTTCCATTTTGATATGTATACTCTCGAATATTTTTCTTCCATATTGAATATCGGAGCCGCAATAATTTTATCGAGGAATACAAATCATGCATAAGTCTTATTGAATAGAACATGATTGGTCATAACCAGATTCGAAAAACAAGTATATATGAGAAGTCAGATCATAACTCGCAAAGCTATGAATGATAAAGTTTACATATTGATAATTTCATCTTCACCATATGACAACCTTGTTCATTAATGACCAATTGTGCATTGCAACACCAACACTAATGAGTACAGACATCTTAAGAGTCATACTTTCAAAAGAAGCAAATTTCTTCACCAAGACAGTGAATATTGTTTATAAGGAGGTTTCCCAAAACTTAACAATGTGATGTTTGATGTGTGCAGTGTTAAATTACGATGTCAGTTTTAATATATTATCTTTAATTAAATTACTATTCACAATTAGCGAACATTTGTTTGAAGTAAAATGACGAATTATTATATATTCTACTCCGTATAAAATATATCTTACAAAGTATTCAAACATTCACAACATCCCGGGGCAACGCCCGGGTAAAACACTAGTTTGACCATTAATATCTTTCATTCCTTATTAGTGAAAAAATTAAACATTTAGATTTTGAAAATTTAAAATTAGAGGAATTTAATAATATTTTTTATAAATTTAATTTATAATACATTAATAAATAAAATAAAGTCAAAGTAGAACAGGTAAATAGTGCAAAAAATTTAATGTCACATTTAAAAGAAAGATAGTATTAGGTATTTCAAAATACTCTTAAAGATTTGAGGAATAAGGAGAAGTAAGATGGGTAAACAAATTTACAAGCCAGTGTATTCTGTTTGTAATCCATTTGTAATCAAGTGTTCCGTTGCCCTAAAAATTATTAAGCGCACCGTAGAAATAGGTAAATTATACCGTACAGCCGGCTGTACGGTGAGCACCGTACAACCTGCATTTTTGTAATTATCCGTGGCTATATCCTCATGTCACAAGACTTGGCGGTCAATCCCTGGAATTCTCGTTTGATTCTCATTTCTTCCTGTACCGAAGTCACTCCCTTTCCCCTTCACGTGGTGGAGCTTGAGAAACCATCAAATCAAATCACATGCAATGCTATTATTTGAATAAGCGCAAGTTTATTTGAATATATAGTGGCAGAAAAGATCCTGTCCAGCCGGAGGGACAGGATCCTCCGTTCGGCCGCCGCCGTTTGGGGCGGTTCCCGGTGGAGTTTTTTGATGAAAGTTTTATGGAATGTTCCTCATCAAGTCTAGTTTATCCACAAAAAATTTCAGCTAAAAATTCGATCGGGAAGGCAGTCAAATAAGTTTTTGAATATTACTGCGCCAAATTAAACATATAAAACGTAGTTATGTTTCAAAAACTTATTTGACTCTCTTCCCGATCGAATTTTTAGCTGAAATTTTTTGTGGATAAACTAGACTTGATGAGGAACATTCCATAAAAATTTAATAAAAAAACTTCACCGGGAACCGCCCCAAACGGCGGCGGCCGGACGGAAGATCCTATCCCTCCGGCTGGACAGGATCGTTCCTCTATATAGTGGTGCTTTTATTTCACATGCGGTGCTTTTATTTCCTTAGAACTCGCACAGTAAGTTTGAATAACATCAAACTTCCCACTTCTATGGATTTGTCTCCAAATATATAATTGAATCTCAATTTGATTTAACTCAAAATCACGAGCTGCACTCATTCAGTTTGCATTTCCTTGGCGCTCGCAGGCACTTCATCACAATAAGTTTTATGTTAAATTCAAATGAGTATAACTCCTAAAATGAATGTGCAGACATAAATGAGTTTTTGATTTTTTCGATACTCATTTTGTAAGCTGTGTATGTTCATTTGGTATCGGTCTTCTGCTCATTATATTTAACATAAGACTTGATTATAGACACGAGAGCACAGATCATGATGCTCAATCGCATAATTCTAATACTCAAGAGAGGAGATTTGATACTCAATTAAAATATGAACAAAGAAACTTATGATTTTCATATGAATGCTCATTTTATATGTTACATATGCTCAATTGGTACTGATGTTATGCTCATTTTTAAAATGTCATAACAATGCATTATTTCAAAAGTATCATATTACATTAGATTCACATATTGAAATTCATAGGAATTGATTATAGATATAATTTAATGAAATTTTATAAAAGAAAAAATAAAAGAAAGTGAATTACAATATATGAAGTTGATATCACTCTACTCATTATTTTACTCTTAATGCTCAGTAGAATACGTTTAATGTTCATTAAAAGTGTATTAATGCTCATCTAACGAAAACCGCGATTTTCACTGAAATTACAAAAATGCCATCATTTTTTAATTGTGATATCAGCTTTCTTGTAATAACACGGTGCTCATTATTGGACGCTTAATACTCATTAAAATTGGACTATTGCTCATTAAGAGTACATAAATACTCATTTAGTAGAAACCGCGATTTTCACATTAATTACAAAAATGCCACCGAATTATTTCGTTATTTTTTCCTTGGGCCTGTTACTGGGCCGGTACGGTGCTCATCCTACATCCGGTTGTACGGTGCTCATCCTATAGTCGGTTAGTAAAATATCCGTACTCGTAGATAGGGTTGTATACGAACCGAATCGAGTCGAATAGTAGGATTTTGTATTTGTTTAATTTTTTCGAATACGAATTCGAATTCAAATATGAAACGAATATTAATTTTGATTTGTATTTGTATTTGTTTAACAATACGAATAGTTAACGAATCTTATACGATAATCGAATAGATTTGAGCATAGGTTATATATTAGTCAAATATCACTTAAAATTAAATTTTCTTATATTTTTTTATGTTGCAAATGTACGCTATGATTTAATATGTGCTTTTATATTAGAATTTAAATTCAATGGATCAATGCATTTTTAGATTATGCATTTTTAAATATAAATATATTTCAAACTTTTGAAATAAACACTAACACACACATATTAGAAATTACACTTATAATGTGTGAAATAAGTTGATAATTGTATATAGGGAAAAATAATTAAAATACCCTAAACTTCGAAGGAGTGTGAGATGAGTCCCCCAAACTTGCATATGTATTTAAAATATCCCAAACTTTGCATAAAAAGTTATTTTAACACCATAGTCAAGTAATATTTCTTTCAAAAATGTAAATTTGTGGTGTTAATTGCGTAATATAAAATATTTTAGAATTCATGAAGACACAATTAGCATTCTAACCTTCTATTTCAAAATAAATATTGTTACCTCCAATCTATATATATATAATTGCAACACTTTTAATTTGTTATTTTAAATTATACAATTAACCCCATAAGTTTACATTTTTTGAAAGAAATAATACACGATAATGGTGCAAAAATAACTTTTTATATAAAGTTTGGGGTATTTAAATTACATATGCAAGTTCGGGGTATTTATCTCACACCACTTCAAAGTTTGGGGTATTTTTATTATTTTCCCCTTGTATATATCAAAGTCAGACGACTCTATTTTTATTCTGCGAATCGAATACATAGTTATTTGTATTGTATATGAAAGGCATTTGAACCAAAAATCCGATTTGTATTCGTATTTATACTTTGATTTATTACAAATGGACTTAGAATCTGTATGCATAAATGTATATATGAACTACACTTTAGGGTATTGCTATCTTTTAAAAGTTATTATAGTGTTATTACTATTATTATTATTATTAATTTTATTATTAATATTATCACTAATATTAATCGAATATATTTGATTAATATTCGAATCGAATACACTGATATTCTTATTTGTATTTGATAACAAATCGAATCAAATTTAATATTCATATTTGTATTTGTATTTGAATTTTCTGAATTCGAATCGTCTTATACGAATTCGAATCGCGAATAGAGCATAAATGATTTGATTCGTTTACAACAGAAATACCTTTTTTAATTGTTACGGGTTTCATGAGTCAGTTACCAACGGCAACGTATTTTCCCAGAGTTTCGCTGCACCTTCAATGTGTTCTTCCATATACAAAAATGAAGAAAAAACCCATGAACTTTTCCACACGTTATCTTCCAGAAATCAGAATCCCCTCATTTGTTTGCGATTTTGAGGTAAGAGATTTCTCATATGCACCATCTATTTCCATTCTTCTTAATGTTTCACTTTCTTTTCTTCATCTTTACAGAAAGACAGATTTTTGTTTGCTATTTTGTGACGGAATCTCGGATTGAAACATTAATTCATCCATACCTGTATGTTCTTATATTCCTTGAATTGTTATTTACGCTCCACGTTTACATTTCTTACATTATAGCACCTCTCCAGGCAAATTAGTCATCAACAATTCATCTACAGGGATCAAGGATAATTTCAAACAAAAAAATTACAGGTGTATAAATATTAGAAGTTCCATGTCAGGAATTAGGGTATTACAACCATAACTTTTAGGGTATTATTAAATTTAGCCCTATGTAGTAAACGTTATTCACAATTTTAATCTAAATTAGAATTGTAGGTTGCCCTATTATTTAATACCATATCAGACTACTACTCATATTTATATTATACACTTAATATAAGTGGTTTATCCTCATCTTGTTGTCTAGCTTTTGAAAATGTCATATATGATATTTGGCGGCTTTGACTTAAATTTGTAAAAAAGAATTTGATTTCCCTTTCGTTTTCAGGAAGGATAATTGTTCTTGATAGATAGTAGTAGTTGGAGTTCAATGTTTGGCTTTGGAAAAAAGCCGCCGGCTTCTGCGAATGCAAGCCCTTTGCATTCTGAATCCAAGCCAGCTAGCAATGCTTCTACCATTACAGCTGGCAGGAGAACATCTTCAGAGCCAGCACTGGACAGCATGACTGTGCAAGAGCTGGAAAACTATGCGGTGAACCAGGCTGAGGAGACCACCAAATCCGTTAGCAACTGCCTCAAGATTGCGGAGGATATTAGACAGGATGGGGCTAGGACCCTTGAGATGTTGCATCAGCAGGGGGAGCAGATTCATAGGACTCATGAGATGGCTGTTGAGATGGACCGTGATTTGAGCAAGGTTCGCCTATTCCCATTTTTCATTTTATCTTTTTAATGAAGTTATTAGCTATGACTTGATGATGATCATACTTGTTTATATAATTGATCTTTTTGTGGTATTTGGCTAATGCATTTGGTTTGTATGAGTTCATTATATCCCATGTTGCAAATTGGTTTTGCATCCACACATATATGTGGGGATGGGTTATTTTATCTTTTAAACTATCCCACGTTAGGAATGTACTTGTATAAGAGATGGATTCATTGTTCGTACTGCTAGTTTTTTAGGTTAAACTAATACTCTGCCACTGACATATTTTTGCCTTATTCAAATAGAAATGATTTATTTGCACCATGAAACCATAAGTTCTTGTTCCACTGATCCAAAAGCAAATCATTAACAGTAGTTGAGTCACTCAGTTTATGTAGCATTGATGTTAATTTGGATGCTGGGGAGTGTTAAAGTCCCACACGGCCACACCATAAAATTGGGAATTAAGAAAGTGTTATATTAAGAGACTGCTCCTCGTCTATCTGCTTGGCCTTTTAAGATGAAACCCAAATCTTAACAGGGAGTGAAAGTGCTCACATTACAATAAGTGCTTATCACAAGGGTAGTTCTCATATGAAACTTCCAATATGGTGTTAGACCTCGATGCCTAATCTACCTCCTAGTGCTACTTAGAGAACTCCTTGTTTGTTATCAACTTCACTTAAATGGCATTTTAATGGTGGACATAAGGTGTATATTGCAGGGGGAGAAGTTACTGAATAGTCTTGGTGGAATGTTCTCTAAGCCATGGAAGCCAAAGAAGACTAAGGATATCACAGGGCCCTTGACCTCAAAAGGTTTTTACACTTTCTTCAGTTTCTTGTATCCAAATCTCTTAGGATATGTTTGGATTTCAAAAGTACTAGTAAAGGGGGAGATGCAAAGAAATGTGATTTCCCTATGTTCGGTTTGTTCTGAACATCTAAAAGAAAATTATTTTTGGTTAATATTTTTGAAGTTTATATACATATATTAAGATTTTTTACTCTTTGCATATTGGGAATAGATAAGTAAAATGACTCGGAAGTTGGAACCATTGTTTTCCCCATACTTTCTGCTAATTTTTAAGAAGGCGTATTGCATTTTGTAGTAACTGTTTTTTATTATCTTGGCTTTTCAGACGACAACTACAAAGCAAAGCAAAGTAGGAAAGAACAAAGGGAGAAGCTGGGTTTGAATGCGAAGGGGAAATCAGCACCAACAACACCTCCTTGTGAACCAACGAACGCGTTACAGAAAGTTGAGATGGAGAAGGCAAAACAAGACGATGCGCTCTCGGAGCTTAGTGGTATATTGGGTGAACTAAAGGGAATGGCTACTGATATGGGCAGTGAACTTGACAGGTCAGTCACTCTGTTCTTCCCTCCTACAATCATACTATCACATTTTAACATTACCCGATATTAATATAACGGTATTAATGTCATATTCCGCGTTATTTTCCAAGCATAACCGTACGTGCTTATATTTAAGGAAAAATATAGAATTCTTATTTGGTATTTCCAGAAGGGCACTGGCACATCGGTTATGGTGTTGCTTTGTGACTGAGAGGTCACGGGATCAAATCTTTAGAGCGATTTCTTGTACTTGCTCCTTATACACTCTTGTGGTGTGACCCTTCCTCGGTCCTCGCCTTGTGGGGACGGCGATGTGCACTAGACTATTCTTTACATTATTTTTACTCCTATTTTGGATACTTTCTTTTCTTTACAAGCAACTTTGTTACATCCCTAGTTTTTTGCCCTCAAAATAAGAAGCTTCAATCTTGACTTGAATTATAAATCCAGGCAAAACAACGCTCTAGACCATCTAGAAACAGACGTGGATGAATTGAACTCTCGAGTAAAAGGCGCCAATCAGCGCACCCGTCATCTACTGGGGAAGTGAAGTGCGACACACTATCTTTTTCGTAGTATTTTTTTAACTTCTTGTATTATAAAATTTTAGTTCTTTGTATTTACTTTAATTTTTGTTGTATTACTTGTATATCATGAAATGAATGTGTTTATAAGCAATAAATGTTGTTCAAAGGTTGGGTACATTTGGTTCGTCAAACTTTGAATTTAAGCCAAACTTTAAGATGTAGCTGTCATTAGTCATGGACTCATGGATTAGTCATACATAATCAGGTTTGACAATCTCCTCCTCAACGTTCATGTCCCATAACCTTAATAATTACGGGTCATTTCAAGTCATTACGAGTCTGTTTCTTGTGTCATTTTCCGCATTGAAAGTATAATTTGCAATACCAACGTTGTAATGGGATATGATTACTTGAATTGTCAATGTCTACTCATAATTAAATAGCAATATCATCTATTTCAGTGCAAGTGAGACATCATATAATGTCATAGGCAGTTTTGTTAAAACAAAAATGTTTGGTGTATATGCCCCCAAAGGTGTTCATGGATGGAGCGACCCGTGTTTACGAATTGTTGTTTTGTTTTTGCTCGTCTACAATCTACATATAGGGGTGTTTGGATCTGATTCTCAAAATTGATTCTGCCCCTTCAAGGAGCAGAAGCAGAAGCTGGAGTGTTTGGGTGAAATTCTAAAAGCACTTCTGGTGCTCTAATTTACTCCCAAAATCAGTTTTTTAGAAGCTGGGTGTACCAACTTCTGAAAACAGATTCTAATTCTGCTTCTGCTTTAAAAAAGAAGCAGAAGCAGAAGTAGTTCCAAACACCTATATTCCATCAACTCAAGATCTATTTTTATACGGAGTATAAAATTGTCATGTTTTCTTCTATTACGTTTTTTGTTAATCAATGACCATGTTGCTAGTTTTGTGAGGATGACACACAATTGTTCTAGTTTTTGATGTTGTTAAAGGTATGTATCGTTAGCAACTTAGCAATAAATGTTACTTTCTAGCAATGAAATTTAACCTATGTACAATTGTACAAACACAACTTTATTGATATTTAAGAGAAATTTTACAACGTAAGCTATTTATTGGACATTTATTGAGTAAACTTAATGCATAATATGAAAATGTTTTCCCATTACATGACTCAATTGGGCGCAAAGTCACTTCAAACGCTCATTTAATTTATTTCCATGGCTGGTCAAAGCCAGACATCATATGCAAGACATGAATATAGCCTCTGTTTGGATAATCGTGGTTTACACAAAACGCTTTTTTTTTGTAACTAGACACACTGCATTTTGCAGCGAGTAGGTATCAATCAGCCAAAAAACAAACGAGGTCATAATATTGGCAATGAGGAAACCACCACGGATGAAACAAGTGATAGTGACGATGAATAGAACTTGTATAATTTGTAGAACTATTAAAAAGAATACGTTAGCTTTTATTTTTGTACAACTATAAAAAATATACAGACAACTTTAATTGAATTGCAAATCATCTTTATTATTAAAAATGTATGCAATTTCGAAAACATGATTTAACAAATGACTTTTGTTTGTCCATTTGATTATTCTTTAGGAAAAATTTATACTAATAATCCCAACTATTGGCGGTCCACTCATAATAATCCCAACTATCGATTATTTCAGAATAATCCCAACTTTAGGGACCTTCCGCCAATAATGGTCCGATGTGACCGACTATAAATAAATTTTTGTAGTTTTTAGAGTGAATGAGAAAAGATATAGCAAGTAATCCCTATAAATAATCTCAATTTTTAATTTTTAGGCTTAATTTCTATTTAAAATTGGAGGTAATATCTGGTCATGGACCATTATTGGCGGACGGTCCATACAGTTGGGATTATATAAAAATAATCAATAGTTGAAATTATTATTAGCGGACCGACAATAGTTGGGATTATTGTTTTCAATTTTTCCTGTTCTTTATTACTACGTAGTATTTTTAAAATGCGTTTGTCATTTATATTATAGTCGTTGGGTGGGGCTTATAACATTTGGTGTTAAGTTATATTTAGCTAATTCTAATAAATAAATTGATTATAAAGCATACATGTTTACATTTGTAATATACCGAGTATAATTTTTGTTTGGGATAAGGGTCAGATAGGGCCTCGAACTCGAAAAAAAATGTCAAATAAGGTCATATTTCGGATGCTCTGTCTGGCCGACGCCATTTGGGGCGGTTCCTGATGGAATTTTTTGATGAAATTTTTTGAGCATCTTCCTCATTAAGTCTAGTTTACCCATACCAAATTTCAGCTAAAAACTCAACCGGGAAGGTAGTCAAATGAATTTTTGAAGATAACTGTGAAGTTAAACAACGCCGTACATTTCGGAAAATTATTTGACTACCTTCCCGGTTGAATTTTTAGCTAAAATTTGGTATGGGTAAACTAGACTTAATGAGGAAGATGCTCAAAAAATTTCATCAAAAAATTCCATCGGGAACCGCCCCAAATGGCGTCGGCCAGACAGAGCATCCGAAATATGACCTTATTTGACATTTTTTTTCGAGTTCGAGGCCCTATCTGACCCTTATCCCTTTTTGTTTTTTTCTGAAAAAACAAAAGAGACTGGCTAGTCAATCGAAATCGGTTCGAAAACAGAATTACCAATTTCAAAAAGGCCTTCAAAACTAGCCGGTCGGTATCGAAATCCGCCCGTTTCCACCCTGTCCTAACCAATAGAATTACCCACTCATTAATCCTTGGTTTAAATGAGAGCCTTGGTTCAAACTAGATTTAAGGAAACCATAATATATCAGAACAAAATATGACAGACTAACCTTCGACAATTATAAAATAGACATAAGAAAGATATCTACTAGATAAAAATAGACCAATTTAGGCTATACCAACAAATTTCAATCCAACTAAAAACATCATAAGAGTTGTTATCGGCGATAATAAGCCACTTGGTTCATAAGAGTTGTTGTTTAAAAAATAATTAAATACAATAATTTAAGTACATTATGATAAGTGGCTTAGATGGACTTATAAGCGTGTTATTTTTAATATTTGATGATAAATTTATCATTTAAGAGTGTCAACTATTTCCTAAAATATGAATGATTTTTTTAATTGAAATGTTTAACAGAGACAAGTGACACGCTTATATTGGACGGATAGAGTACATTTTAGTGTCATTCACATAGGTATGGACCGGTCCTGGGCGGGCTTTTTGGGTTTGGCTACGGGCCCGAAACCGGCCCTGGATTCCACCGGGTCCGGGCCAGTCTCGGGCCGGTCCCCGAGCCTGTTCATTTTTTTTTGCTTTTCTAGTTAACTCCCGACCCCCCCCCCCCCAAACACCCAGCCCAACCCGGGAAAAACAAAAAACATTGAAAAAAAAGGCCCGGCCCGGCTGGTAGTCCCGGTACCAAAGGATAGGGTAGCCCAGAACCGCCTCGCCCAACCCCTCCGGGCCGGGCCTAGGCCCGGAACTGGTCCCGGTTCACCGGGCCGGTTCCCGGGCCGACCGTAACCGGGCCATCACTACATTCACATATTCCTCTCCCGAGTAAAAAAGTTCAAAATTGTGTACGTAGGAATATCTTAACTAAATTATGTATTCACGGCATTTCAAACATTGGACATAAATAAAGTGAAGTAAACTTATTTTGGACTTATTCATGTTTAAATTATTTGCATTTGTTGTTTGTAAGAAGTCAACACATAATTATTAATCTATCTTCAAGTCTATGACATAAGACGCTTTAAAATACTACGTAGATTATTTGACAAATTAAATAAAGAGGAGATAATAACAAGTTAACAACAAACAAGACTAGTTCCACGGAGTGAAAATAGTTCTGCCTTCAAATTAACAGAGCTAGAATAGGGCTATCAGCCATTTAGCTAGTAATCTAGTTTTATGCTATCAGCTTCCAACTTACGATAGTATATTTTTATTAAACACTAAATTGGTTGGAACGCAAAATGAGTAATAATTAAAATATATAAAGTTGAAAGTATTTTCTCAAATTTATTGAGAAGACAACATTCACATGTCAACCAATTCAATTTGCTCGTTCCAATTCATTCATACACTACAAAAATATACGGGCTTGACATAGATTTTTGACAGAGATATAAAAAAATTCATTAAGGATTTGGCAGAGATATGCCAAATTCGAACCAAAAACATTTTGACACGAGCTATTTGGCACGAAATCAACGATAAATCCGTGCCAAATCCATATCAATCCCATATTTTTGTAGTGCCAAATCCGTGCCAATAACTTTCGTAACTTAAATACATTCAGCAAATTAAATAATCAATTTTGATGTTAACAATACTTTTGTACCTTTAAAAAAAAATTGTATATATTTATGTGTTTTGCAGCTAGCTAGTGCTGCTTATTTTAACGAGGCTGTAACTTATTTTATTCTAAAATATTATTATGTTACCTATTGTATGACTTGTGTTGTGTACAACTATATATTCTCAAAGGTCATTTACAAACAATAGCATATGTAACGGAGTTTGAATTAGAAAACAATATTATAAACAGATTTCAGGCATAATAATTCTTCAAAACTAAACCAGTTCACATGCAGGACAGCATATAGTACATGCTATCTATAAATCAAATTAAACGGTGTCATATATGCCAGACTATTATAGTTAAATTTCGTTTTAAGAGAAAAATTAACAACTGTCATAATAAATATTGTGTATGATATATACGGAGTAATAAATATGTAGAGGAATGTTCAGGTCCGAACATTCCTGGTCCGAACACCGTCCGAACATGGACGTGTGGGGCCCTTTCCGGTGGAATTTTTTGATGAAATTTTTTGAGCATATTCCTCATCAAGTCTAGTTTGTCCATACCAAATTTCAGCTCAAAATTCGATCGGGAAGACATTCAAATAATTTTTTGAAGTTGACTGCGTTTTTATATGTATATTTTGACGCAGTCAACTTCAAAAAATTACTTGAATGCCTTCCCGATCGAATTTTGAGCTGAAATTTGGTATGGACAAACTAGACTTGATGAGGAACATGCTCAAAAAATTTCATCAAAAAATTCCACCGGGAAGGGCCCCAAACGGGGATATTTGTACGGAGAATCCTGTCTGAACGTTCGGACAGGATCATTCTTGTAATAATATGTATAACCTTTCACGTTTTCAAGATGTTTCAATAATAATAATTGTCCTTCAATTTTTAAATATTAGAGCAATTGAGTTTTGTTTCTTCCCGGTAATTTTCACGTGTTAGATATTAGAGGTAAAATATGAAATGTAAGAGCAAGTTTTATTAATTTATTTCTTCCTTAATTATAATGTTGGCATGTTAGATTTTAGAGGTAAAATATGAAAGTTTATGATTGAATACTCCATACTAAAA